GGGTTCCTTATAATGGGATTCTATAATTGCAAAGAAGCAGTTTGTAACTAATAATTGAATTTTTACCACATTCGACAGAATAAAACAGAGATGCCTAATGATATACAGGTTGGTCCTTTCCATAACAAGCGCAACCAGTAGGATTTTTCAAAATGTACATAACTAATAATTTTGGGCGAAACTGTATATTATTCAATTAATTTTATTTTGAGTTTAACATGTAAATTCATTTCTTTTAACACGGATCTTGGAACTTGTACCTAAATGCCAATACACTTATACCAGAAATTTTACGGCTTACCTGAACTTCTTCCATATTTGTGCGATAATTTAAATAAAATTTGGAATTTTGGACAATGGAGCGATTTTCCATGATTGAGGAGTAATTAAACTGCAATGCTAAAATTGATATGAGTTGATATGAATATTTTACTTTCAACTTTTTACAACACTTCTCTTAAACTTCACTTCTTGTTGTTTGTTTGTCTGTCTGCTACAAATATTATAATAGATATTTAACACACTTCTACCTGCCCAATCGATATGAAATTTTGCACACTTGCATAAAGTTGAAGACAATGCGTGAATCAATTGACAGAATATATTATTTTAAAATTAAGCATTTTTTAATATTTAAAAGAATTTAAAAATAATTTTGTTAGCTGCAAATCTTATAATCTATATTTGACACACATTTCTACCTGTCCAAAATGTTGCACACTGGCATAAAGTTAGAGACATTGTTGCATGAATCAGTTGACAGAATACATAATTTTGAAATTCACAAAATTTCTACACATTTAAAAGTTTGATAATTACTTTTTTGAATATTTTAAAATAAAATTAGAAATTCATTGTACATGTGTAACAGTGTAACATCAAAGACATTGGATTCTTTGGAAGTGTTGTCTTTAAAAAGTAATTTTTAAACGCATATTATTTTGTTGTTAAATCTGCACTCGAAGAATAGATTAATACTAAAATTTTAATTCAGTTCATGATTTTGGTTTACACATCTCGAAAATATGCGCTTTTTTATTATGATGTACATATGGAAACATATTACGATGCAAATTGTAATGATAGTATTTGAAATTTTGAAATGAAATGAATCCATTGAAGAACGTGTCTAGGCAAAATTGACCGATCTCGGAATCGATTAGAAATCATTTGTATATTATTTACTGATAACCTGTCTGAAGTATTTTGAACACAAGCCTGTCAGATCCCCGATTCTGTTTTTGAATGAAGCGCCCTAACACAATTTCATCTGTGTTTGGTGGAACTGAGTTAGAATTTACGCACAAACTATAGTTGCCAGACACCGACATACGCCGCACTAGTACGCGCTCCCGAGTCCCGTCACACCGTCATAAGCTTCTCAGTAAGCGCGGGAACTCGTGTTGGCAGGTCGTTTAAGAGTAAAGTTGCTTATTCGGATGCAGTTATTTAACCATTGTGTTGTTATAAAATCTGATATCATTTTATGAACTGTGAATAATGCAGGGCTAATTTTTTGAACGGTTGTGGGTATGTGAGTGAAAACCATAAATTAATAAGAGAATGTTTCAAGGACTTACTCGACTGGACCCACGTGGTGAAGCAGTTGTCAAGTGAACCTGGTGCTGCTCTGACACATGCCACATGGGTGCACATGCGTTTACACAGAATTGTTTTGATTCGTAGCCCTTATTTATGTGTCCGAGACCTTACACTAAATTTAATTATCATGATTCGTTTTGTAGTGTACTTGCATAATTTTCGCTTGATATCTCAAGATGGTTTCTAACTGCTGTCTCAATTCGAATTTCCGAGGTCATTTTTGCTATTTATATAGGTACTATTGTGTGATATTACCTATGACTGCTATGTTATGATTGAGATTTTTAAATTCGTGAACACAGTAATAAAATCTTGCCATGAATCATGATGAATGAGTTCTGATGACACGTAGGTACTAACTTAGGCTAGCTAAGCTGCCAATCTTAGTTAAATTGTAACTTTGTAAGTGCTCTCGTAGCTAGTTAAAGACAATTATCGACAGACAGGAAATTATGGAATCACTTTGTTTTTCTTAATTCTGTGCCTATCCGTAACTTCATTCCTAGGAAATCCTAGCTAATTCAAAACGTTGCCATATCTCCATGACAGTTATTTCTATTTTTTATTTTCAGTAATCTGTTACACTATACGATCATTTTTAGCAACGCAGTGAACGCGTTGATGTAGGAAGTTACTATGTTAATATGTAACACTTCTGCAAATGTAACTCGCAATTCGCAAAAAAATTCAGCACTATCGTTCATTTTGAACATCGAAATTATCTTCACACTCATGTTTATTGTGTTTGATATGAAAACGTGGTTCTTGGACACAAACCAATTTGGAGTTCCACGTGCTTATTTCTTTGGTAAACGAAGCCAAGAAAATTTAATTTTTCATGAACGAAATCAGAAATCACGAACTATTTCATGGTAAAAAGTATACGGTCAAACATCAAACTGTCGAACCAAATGAACAATGCAAACTAAGTATCTGTTCAGATGTATTTTGTGTTTTGACTTTTGAATATTCACTTGTTAAATCCAGCCATTTCCATCTCATTGAGGCGGCTTTTAGGCCTAATTTTTTACCCGCAGCCCCGGCTCCCATGGGAGTTAGGGAGATGGACATGCATTCTATCCCCATAGACCAGCTCAGAAATGTTACTCCTTGGCAATGACCGTTGACCGTGAAGTTAAAACTTCACGTCAAGCTTAAAATTCATTCTGTGTTTATGTTGATGATATTTATCAACAAGTTGTTCGTGCTGATGATACGTGGGTACATTTGTTGATATGGCATAATTTCGATATGATCAGTACATATTTTTTCAATCAAAAGTTTAATTTAATTAAGTAAATAAATATCGGAATATCACGCAAAAATGTTCAAAGGAATTAGTGTTCAGCCAGTGATAGTCGCGAGCAGACATAGCACGATGCTTACCGTCATTTCCGTACTGGTCCGTTAAATGCTTACTATGCGTACGTCATATCTCTTGCCCCTTCCTCGTCGTGACGCAGCGACTGGCGACATGCGTACTTGCATTGACGCTTCCGCACGCGCGAAGTTTTCGTTTTCTATTCGCTAACCAAAGAAAACGGTGGCTTGAAACGCTGCGGCTGAATCATAGCCTTCTAATTGTATATGTTTAATTCATTGAAGGTCTGACTGGCAGTGACTGCAATGTCTGATTAAAGTAATTTAGAAACATTATGTGGGGTATATTCGTTTTATCGCTCGTAAATTTATATTGTGGATACAATTTTTTGAGGCGTTAAAAGGTTCGGATCTTGTTAAGAATAAGCCACCCAGACGTTACCGGGGTGCTTTTTTAAGAATTACAATTTAATGTAAAATAATACATTGCAAAACATTAAATCCCATATGACAAGCTAAACATCTTATTCAAAGTACTGAACCGCAATATGATTCTATAAAGCTTCAAAAGCATTTTTTGAGAAGCGATTTCGCCACATGAATTATTGAAAATAGGAATAAGAAACTCCTTCTGTGTATTCCAATACGATTCCAAATTTTATACCAGGCTGCGTTTTCTTAATTAACAAGGTCATACTGGGGTGCTTATTCTTAACAAGATCCAAAGCAAAGATTCAATCAAAACAATAAACGCCGCGAAATTCGATTTATCGAACACGTGCATATTGCATAATACTCAATATATCCATAGAATATTTCCAATCGGTGAATCTCAACCACTTCACCTAGCACAGCTCTCAAGGTTGCTTACTCAGCAAGGTCGGAGCGGTCAGCGAAGCTTGGCAACGAAGACTGGGCCTGATGTCCGCAAAACATCGAGTCGTCACCGAAAAATTCCTATATCAAATCAATGAAAAAAATCATTGCGCATATATGCTTGAAATATTTCAACTGCTAATATCCGTGTGTGATTTATAACGGTATATATAATTTTTCAAGGGACATTAAAGAAATAAATTACATAAATATGGTCGTGCTTTAAATCTTAGCTGTTCGAAAAATTTTGTGTATATGTAGATTTTGATGCTCGTCTTTCAAAAATAACAGTTTCTTATTGTCATCCATATCGATTTTTGATGTATATCGGTTCATTATAACGGAAAAGTCGATTTCTGAATAAAATGCGCGTACCTACACGGAAAAAATATAGTTTCCGAAGAATTCATTGACACTTGGTTATGAGCTGTAAATGGTAAAGCATCAAACCATCGCCCTTGGTTACTAATTGCAAGAGCTGAGGTCATTCCAGGTTAGGACTAATCCATTAATGACTGGTGGCCCCGGCACCGCAGTTGCAGTAGTATACGAGACGAGTACATACACTTTCTTCGATTCCGTTAGGTTTTTATGATGAAGTGATGTCATGTTTCATGTGGAATAGGGAGTTATGTTTGACTTCAATAAGATCGAAAGCAGTCCGGATGTCAGACAAGATCCATAACAAATCAATCATTGTCCCTCGCTTTCTTAACTGTTAACTGACGTTTGAGCATTATCAGTAATATTGACAATGCATTCGGAGTAATACTTCGAAGTTGTCTCAAAGGGGCAAAAAATTAAACATGTATTATATTTTTTCTTTTCGTCTTTTGTTTTCTTCTGTGTTACGTAGGCATTGCTTGTTCACAGTATTAGTTTCAAGTTGATTGCCTTAAAATTGGTTTAGAGGTAGGCAGGAATGCAGTGCAATCAACATCATTTTTACGTGGTCAATACACAGAAAAGCATTTCATGCACAAAATTTAAATAATGCCCTTTGTACTGCTGTAAATTAGGTGTTGTAAATTTCCTCATTTGATATTACACAAAAAATCCGTGCGTCGATAAAAAATTCTGGATACGTTACTGCTTAATTTTTGGTTACTTTCTTGGCTTCATGCTTGCATGGTTAAGGAGTGCATAATTAGTTTGCAGGTAAATTCATACACGTATTTTTGATAATTTGTTGATTGTTTCAGGTTTGCATGAGTAACACTTAATTTCTTTCGTTGACAGTCTGGTTGCATTAATGTTGATATAAATTTCTGGATACAGTGAGTAAAAATTTCCAGGTTTTAACGTTAAAATCACGAACAATCATGAATCCTGTCACAAATTTTAATAAAAAATCGAGAACCGACAATTCTACGGGTACACGGTCCCGTGATAGTGAATCCGGTTCTCCAATCGCATTTAAATACATCTCACCGTCAAACTCGTCTTCACCAGCGAACCGATTACAAGTATCATCTCCAACATCTGTCACGTCTCAATACATCAAAACATCAGTTGGGTCTTCTGTTCACTATTCCATCATCCCGAGGTCTCGATCGTCTTCTGGAGAATGCTCACAACCGTCCAGCTCCCCGCATTCTGCGAGTTCAACATCGCCCGTTTCGAGATGTTTCTCATATTTGAGTTCAATAGAGAAGCTGAGCGAACTGTCTTCGGAAACAACATCTCGCTCATCGTATTCGTCCTCGTCCGGAAGCTCGTCATCGTCTCCTGATGATTCACAACCGAATGTTAAGGCAACAAGCTTAACTCCATCGCTCCACTGTGCTTTTCAGGCCGGAAAGAATAATAGAAGCGAAGACTTCGCTTCCAAGGCTAGTAGTGCCGCCCAACGCTTGTTTAAAATAAAAAGTATTTCGACCGTTCCATCAAATGCGAACAATTTTATTTTAGAAGTAAGGAGGAAATTAGCCGAGGAAGCGCAGTCATCCAGCAGAAGAGACTCTGATCCTAAAATTCAGTCTTCAAGGCGAGTGACAGAAGAATGTGGGCAATCTTCGACTCACTTGGACCCTAGGAAAAGAGTCTCGATAATCGTTGGAAAAAAGTCTTCTGAATATAACACGTATGCTCCAAGTAAAGCAGTGGGAAACCCTCGTAGTACGATCACTGTTATTCGAGGACCTCCATTGTCCCACAATTGCATTGGTAAAATGACCACGCCGCGAATATCCGCAAATTTCAGGGCATGCAGATCGCCTGCTAAATCTTCTTCGAAATCATCTGGTCGGATAAATAGGCCTAGCTTATCCACAAAGTTAGTAACGAAGAGAGAGCTTTTTACCACCGCAAGTAGAACTGTTGAATCAGCTCATAGAACAATCGGATCAGGGGCACCGATTTCAACGCCTGATTATGCGTGGAAGGAAGAATTGCAGCGTCAGACTCCTTCTCCCATGGATTCCACCGGCTCTACTTCTAGCGAGACTCCAATCGATGATGCTCGGGATTCATCCTGGGGATATTTATCTTCTGGAGAAAGAGACGCTGTTTCAGTTCTAGCGAGTTTTAGAACAATGAGTAAGTTATATCATTTGAGGGATCCAAAAATAATGTCGACGTATATTAAATCCTAAATGATGTAATTTCGTTCGCCGTGCGCCCGCCCGCCATACCTGCATAAATAAATATTCATAATAACCAGTTACCATCCCTTTTCAGCATCCCCGGACAAAGAAAAAATCTATATAATTTCGACAAGCATCGTGTCTCTAATAGATTTTATTAATTTTACGCTAATACTTTATTTCTGTCTGTTCATTTCTTGCGAATATACCATATACGTATATTCCCTGCATCTTAAGTTATTTTCATGGGTAGTATGGTCGCTGTTTAAGAAATAGCGAGCGAAAATGCATGAAAACCTGGTAAGAGGCCTATGCAATGCGCATGGTACGTGCCAGTGGTCAATTCCAGCTGATAATACCATATGACTATTTGATGCAGAAAAGGCTTGTTAAAAGACAGGTAATATTTCAATATACTCACCATCGTTCAATTCAGAATGAAATAACTTGCATCTGCTTTTGGTAAAATAGTCCCTTTGGTGGTGGAGGTCACGGAACTCGTATCCCGCGAGAAACTATGTTTCTACCATTTAATTTCAGCCTTTACTGATGCAAGATAGATTCGTTCATCTTTTTTGGAGCAAAGCACGGAATATTCTTCCAAATATTCCAATTGTTTGCGTAGTTTCTTGTGCAATTATGGATAACTCGACACACACACACTAACGTTTCCTGATTTTTGCAGAGGCCGATTGTATCGTCACCCAAGCCACGGAGACACCCCGGCACAACAGCACCGGCAAGAAACGAAGAGGCAACTTGAATAAGGAGTCCGTGGGCATATTGAAGAAATGGCTTTACGAACATCGTTACAAGGCATACCCCACCGACGAGGAAAAAATGACCCTGGCTAAGGAATCAGGGCTTACTATTCTGCAGGTATTGATTTAGATTGTCGAGTCTGGCTGGGTAATTTTATGATGTACCTACTCGGGTCTAAGACAGTCAATGACTCTAAATTTATTCGATTTAAGCTTGAAAAATGCAAGAGATATAGGAGGAATGTATTTTTTGTTTCAGCGAACTATGAAATCAGCTGATAGAGATCACCTTATAAAAGCATAAAGTATTTCACTATTAGATCCGAATGAATCGCTATTAAAACAATTTTCTCATTTCAGGTTTGCAACTGGTTCATTAACGCTCGTCGCCGCCAATTGCCCGGAATGTTGCAGCAAGAAGGCTGCTCTCCAGAGAATTATACCATAACTCGCAAGGGTAACCACAAGTCCAAGCGATCCCCTCCTGGGACTGGTGACCCCGTCAACCGTGCTGGCCCATCGCGGGCCCAAAATCTTAATCTTGATCCGATTCCGCAGGTTTCAACGACGAATATTGGTCAGTCCGAACAAAGTCGTCGACTAGCAACAACTCCTTTGAATGGTCCGAGAGTAGATGAAAATCTTGCCAGTTTTCCAGGTTACTCATATCAATCGTCTCAATGGAATAGCGAGCAAGCATTCGATCCAGCGGACCGTGTTCCTGCTTGGGTTGACGAGCAGAGGCAGCTTAGCCGTACTCTGCCTCCGGTGTTGCAATACAGCGAGCTTTACATCGCAGAAATGCCTGGAATGAACACATATTCGACATGTTATTCGGGTGGTCCATCTCAATGCATATCGCCGTCAGCGCCGTTCATTGCCAGAGACGCAGCAATTTTGTGTACACCAGACCCGTCTCCGCAGATCCAAAGGGAAGGAAATGTATATCTTCCGCATTCTGATCTAGTTGATTCGTATGGATATCTCCCTGCAGGCCCCTACGGAATGGTCATAAGTGAAAATGGCACTACACCACCTCCTACCCCTCCAACTGTAAGCTCAAGTAAAATCTCGCAATCGCCCACCGCACCTCAAGAGCAGAACTTTTCTTTCTACAGACCGGAAAAATCTGCGCAATACGTTTTCGACAACTGTCACCACGGGATGGGCTCGTGTACTGAAAATGGGTCCGTAATTCCTAATGGCATTCAGGGATATTCTGTCGTCGAAAATAATCAAGACGGTTTCCAAGTCAACGATAATTGTGCAAATATCACCAATCAATCGTTCCAGGCTATGGATGATTCGTTAAGTCCCGACCAGTCAGAGGACCGAGCAATGACAGGGACTACAATGGATATTGACCCGCAGTCCCCACCTACCCGTGACTACAACAGTCTTCAATTACTGGTGGACACGGCCTTAGGTAATTGCAACGAGCCTTTGCAGCACAAACAGTTTATTGATGCTACAGGTTTCCCAGTGTCGGCACTGCATGGCAGTCATGATACCGAAGAAGCCCCGAGGGTTTTGCTTTCTCTCTGAAGGATTTTTGGTTTTCTCTGGCAGCATTTCATTCTGGCAATTTATGCAGAGTCGAGACAGTTAGAAAAAGTACTAATTGCACGTTTTATGAGTACCTCGATTTAGACTAGAGGAATGCTATCAATTTCAATCAGTTCATTAGCTCATCAGCCATCAATAAGCTCTTACGATGTCTGTGGTATGCCCATCTCGTGAACTTTTTTATGGCAGGAACCTTTCCCAGTTCAGTATAATTTTTCATTTATACCTCCCCATAGTAATACGTTCAATTCTGTTCAGGGATCGATATTCGGTATTGATTTCATTTGAATCCTTTACACTTAAAATTTTTTAATTTCAGTTTTCAGTTGAGCGGTCAAACCGATCAAATTTACAGGTCCATCGGAAACTTCTATCAAAACTACAAATGCCCAGCCGAAAATAAGTCCCTGTTTTACATGCTTACGAAACCTTGTCGTTTGTATAATTTTTTAGCTGGTAATTAATCCCGAAGCAACAGGCGTTCATGGTTCCTTACGCAGAAAATATTTAGAAATTAACATCTTTGAATGCATCAACTAGTTTAGTAGGTGTACATTTTTTTTGTAAATTTCAATTAGGTGTATCGTCTTAACATTGCGCAAACTTCTTAGCTCTCAGACGTCTAACTTAGATTTAGCCGTAACCTTCTATCTCTGCATGAATAATATGTTTTTACGAGAAAAGTGCAGCAATAGCCTGCCTTGACTAATTTCTGGGTTATTAACGAATGAATTAGTTAATATTTACCTTTAATTCTTCCTCACAAATATGTTTCACTCAGATCAAGTTGTATTCACACGAAATTCGTGAATTAGCTCAGCTTTTCTAAGTTGTGTGAAATTACATTTTGCAGAAACTGAAACTGATCTAAGTTTGAACTCAGTGTTCATATAGATGTAGATAATAGCTTACTCTCTCTTTGTTGCAAGTCAATAACATTGTAGTACATAGATGTTTGCCTGTGTCTTCTGTGATACATTCTAACTTGGTTCCCTGTTGTGCGTGTCAAAAAGCTTGTTCCTCATCACGTTCTTGTCGCTTGCAGGAATTATCAAGAATCCTAGTGAGTGCAGCAGAGCCTCAACCGCCGGGCTTAGTTCGCCTGCCTCTTCTGCCTGTAGTTCGACTTGACCGAGTGGACGCTGTGGGCCCTATCATTCTGTACCGCTTCATTATCCTTATCGTAATGATCTCTCCTCAACAACATAACAATGTTACTTCATATAACTATCAAAGCATTAATGTGTCTAGTTTAGCCTCTAATGCAGCCTCTAATCATGCAGGAGCTCAAACATCGAGTCGAATGTCAGGCTCAGTACTTCTAAATCGCGACAAGAATTGATTAAAATAGATCCATCATTGCACTGACGACATTTAGCTCTTTTTCAGCAAATAAATTCCAATTAAATTAAATTAATCATTCATAATTGATTCTTTATGAATCGTTTATCATTCAGCTTATCGAACTTCCTTTTTAGCTGAAAAACTAAACAAGAACTAAGATATCTGTGGAAACTGAAAATCACTATTTAAATTCTGACGTCGTCTGAGTGCTCTCCTAAATCAAATAACAAAAATGACGCATTACATAACAATATAATGACGGTTGTATTTGCAGAGTAATGATGAAATATATTGGAATCTTTTTATTAATTTAATCGAAATATTTTTTATTTTAACCAATTATAATTTTATCTATTTTAAGTGTAGCCATACCTCGCTAGAATTTGGAACTCTACTCTACAACTTGGCTTCAGGATTTATTAGACTCCTTATGCTATGCTCCTAAATCCTTGCACGATTTACTCCCCGAGTGCATAAACTCTTTATAGCACAGTATGTTTGGCATTTTCCTGTACTTGTCGTCTGATTTGGCTGGTTTTTACTAACTGATTTGAATGTTTTCTCGAGTGATTATCGTTAACCCGACAACGGGCAATCATTAATATTATATCATTCACTCGTCATGCATGCTACTAATTCAAAAATTTCTGACTCGCTTTCCATAAGTATGGTATGTATGCGAAAATTTACGGTTTATTTGTCGACAAAAAAGTAGGGAGGAGTTTAGTTGATTATTCTTCTAGAATGACGGGCTTCCATAGGTTATCTCCATTTGTTGGGAATGGAAAAATCTTAATTAGTAAGGCTAAACGTAAGTAATATTGTCGCTCATCAATTTCTTAACCATGCACCACCTCCATAATTTGACAAATAACTGAATTCAAGTGAGGAACGACGATCTATTCGTTGACTCAGAAGCCTGAATATATAATTTCAATTAATTGCAATTCATTTTATGTTGAAGCTATTGTTGTTTCTACAATTCAATTAACTTGTTGCCTGGGAGTGAATTTAGATCAATAGCAGTTGTAATCCATTTTTTGGGGGATAACGGGAAAGAACCTTAATTCTTTCTGATGATCTGAGCACCTCAATATCCCATAAACTCAGCGTTAACAATTTGTAAATATATTTTTATGCGTCATTCTGTAAACAAATAATCCTGTTCAGCAGGTTTTCCGTGCATTGTATCAAACTCAAGTCGTTGGATATAAAACAACATCAGATAGTTTGTTAGCGTTAAATAATTTATCGATATATGACGAGGTTTAAGATTTGTAAATATATTGTTGCCGTAGTGTACAAAGTTTATGTAGTACTGTAACGCTCCTGAGCTCTAATAGTTGATCTTGCTCCATATCTTAAGTCTGCGCCTAGATTATCCTGAAGGTTGACAACGATTATGTTTTCTGAGGGAATATTAATCCAACAATATTACTATTAATATTTAGGTAACTTTATAACCAAGATAATTGGTAAGTTCGTTTTTTTCATTCGTGAATATGACAAACGGAATTCGATTATTCTATTAAATGGTATTTTTCACAACCGTCATATTATAGGGGACTTGCGATAGTTTGTATCCAAAAGTCTGGACAGGTTCGAATGACGAGTAACGTAGTTTAATCGTGACCTGCTGTCTTACCGTTATTTTCCGTGACTTGAAATATATGATACGACATTATTAATTATACTCCACCTTACGAGAATACTTTACTGGACTTTTAGAGACTATCTATACTTTTTACTGGACTAGATAGAGACTGCGTGCAATTTTAGTTGTGCCATGCGTAAGTTTCTAAGTGTACTGCCTTGATGCCTGTACAAGTTTGTTTTGCCTATCCTATAGCCTTAACCCCTTGCGTTTTTTGTTCTGCAAGATTAAGCATCTTGGTTCGGAAAAGATTTAAAAGTCGAGGATAGGCTGTTAATGTAAAACGCGACAATCGTGTTCCTCATATTGATCTATTATGACCTCTTCTTTTTTCCCAGTATCTTTGTTGTCACGGTAGCTCGGTTGAGGTTACGGGCAACTGATAACTTATCAGACTTTGTTTTATAATGTATTACATATTTTTTCTTCTATGGGAGCAGCTGATAGTTATTTCATTTTAAATAATGTCGCATATTAATTTTAAGGAATCCCTAGGCTAAGGCCTGGTGTGATTATCAAAAATATTGAGTCTGAAACTCTGCTATCTCTGACTTAAATTTGACTGCTCCGTACTAATCGTGATATGCTCAATGCTATTTGATAGTGTGACAGTTGGCAATGTCAACCCAACCTCAGAATTTTTACCACGCTTATTTTACAACTTCATGTTCTATATGTTACTGGTAATATTTGATTGAATGAATAATTACAAATGCAAATTGGTTAAGTTATTCGAAACCTTTACATCGGTTCAAATTTAAGCGAATGTAAGACTCAGTCTACAAACCAAACGTTCTATATTTTTGGCCACATTACTTTTTATCAAACCACTCAATGTGAGCTTTATTATTAATAAATTAATTACTGCTCAACCCCTCCACTTTTATCCAATTGACTTGATATTTCGATTCTAATCGCAGCTTGTAAGTTTTTTAACTATAGCATATAAGTTATTTGACTAGTGGCTAAATTAGCGAATAATCTGTGCATCACACTAAAACAAAAAAACATCAGATATTTCCTGTGTTTCTCAGTTGAAAGTTAATAGTCATTTTATCAGCATTTTAAGTGACCAACAATTTCACAATTTTAATTACTTGTGAATTAAAAAGTTCATTCTTCGAAAAGCCCCTCGGTTTATTCATTTTCTTCAAGCCCCAATTCACATTTCAGTAAGAACTTCACCACCTGAATACTAAGTCGAAGATTTGCGCTGAATCAAATTATGACGTCTGCGTCAGGCGGAGGAATGAATGAAACGCGCCACTTATTCAGCCTGGCGCTTCTACGTTAGTGACGACTACTAATATTATTTATTTCTTCTTCGTTACATCTCAGAATTACGAGGATTTTCCGCGGGAATTCAAGGAGTGGCTTAACTCCGCCTAATCTAGCTACTGACCAGATTAAAACTGGCTCGCAAAATGACTAGAAGAGGCTCCCAATAAAAATGTATTTATGAACTTGAGCTTTAAGGTTACGAAACATTTCTTGTCCCATCAATACGCTGTATAGGCATATCTTATGACTTAGTTGTTTGAAAATATCGTTTATATAAAAGGAAAATCACTATAAATTTTGACTACAGTCGCATGTGTACATATGTACTATTAAGACAGTTTTTTATTACGATAGGTTTATAATTGACGGTTGTAGGTGAAGCATTTGCACCAAACGTGCAGTGTAGGTTTGAATCCGTCGGTGCATCTGCTAAAAAGTGGCGTTGTAAAAGGGAACGAGGCAACGTAAAAATTTGCGAAAAATTCATTGACCGGCGCATACAAAAAAAAAAAAAAAAACGGAATTTTCCAATTTCATGCTTGATCCGCTGGTGAGATGAGAGAAATATCGATTAGGTGACAAATTTAGATCTGAAAAATGAATAAAAACGTCGTAGCTCGTCACCCGTGAGAGTCTTAACTCGCTCATATGCAGGAAGTTCTGCATCCAGCCTAACCTACCGTCAGTCTGAGGCCCGAAATTATACAAGTATAGTAGTGCTGTAATATGACCGTGTGATGAGTTATCGACCTAGATCATACCCCCACTTATCGCATGATCAGACTACAGCAAAAAAAATTGGAACTTCGTATTATTAGACTTGAGGGCCAATCTTACCCTTGTTGACTGTTCCCACGACTCCCTGCCGTATCAAATTTGAACCTACTTGCATGGCTGCACAAAGGTGGAAAGCCGAAGGCGCTAATACTTTAGGCAGTACGCCACTGGTCTGGCTTACGTTGTTCCCGCGTAGTCTGTGTCTTCAATTTCTAAATGCATGCTGAGAAAGCACATTTCCTGAACGAGTTTCGCTATTTCGGGCGCCATCACTATAGACGGAACGTTCATAGAAGTATCGATAGGACTGCAAATGCTGCTGGTCATCTCGTCATATGTCCCAGCAAGTGATGGCAGATGCTTACTGCTTTCATGCAGCGATATCAGGCTTCGGAGAGACAAATTATTCTGCACGCTTCAACGCTCGCAAACTATGTTCGCACAAGCTCTTGGCATTAAACATGTTCCTGCTCCCAACGTTCTGAGTTTCTTGGGAACCTGCAGAGTTTTTCTACCGTCATTTTTACGACTTCAAGTCTTGCAAAATTTTTTCTTACGTACTTCAACACCCCGTAGCACGAACCATTCAAGACTCAACTATCGCCTAATTCAATACAAATGAAAATAGTTGCTAATTTAAGTACTGTAAGTATTTTCATAGATATATATTCTATTACGAAATCTGAGTTTATGAAAGACTTGTGCATTTGAATCGAGGACTGATTAGCAACAGAATGCAATACAACTTAAAAAAATTTAATGATAAACCAAACAAAAAGTCGCCCTTTAATATTTTTACTGCTTTCCATTTTCATCAGGAAAAATTAATCTTCTGATGCTGCAGTTATGTAAGTTGCTTCTTGAAAAATTTCCACCTCAAATTCAACCGAATGACCTTTATCACACCAAGACATCGTACTTCATGATGTAAGTAGTACGATATAGGAACCTAATTCGACACCTGTGCAATGATCACCCATGTCTCGGTAACAAGGTCCGCTTTCTCCTCCTCGATGGGTTACGGATAGTCGCGGTGCTCCGTCAGCCACGCCGACAGGACGGCCTTGGACTCTTGACAGAATTTGGGCCTTCTTTTTCTGACGACGCTGTTACCCGGCCTTGGGTGCTTGCGTTTGTTGAGCGATGTGATGTGTAACGGCTGCAAAAACCAGTAACATTGTATTTTGCTATACTATAATGTAGAAAACTACAGAGCCCTGATAGGCTATTCAGCGAGCATTGAGATTGATAGGCGAATCAGAATTTCAAAGTGTGTTCAAAATGTTGCCGATGCTGTCTTTAGAAAACGGGCTCGAAAGGATGACTTCAAGGCACCGAATCGCGAGATGCATTGTGGGATCGACCGCCATAATTATTGCATCAGGGTCCAGCTTTCGCCTACGTATTCAATCTACTGCGCTTGCCTCTTTTTGAAGTTTTGCGCTTTTGAACGGCTACTGCGCCGTTGTTGGATGCACCAGTCGTTTTCACGACTATTTAAACAGAAAACTGGATAATGGAATACGTTTCTTCAGTTTACTAGCCGTGAATATTTATGATACACGACACTATATATTTTCCAGGAGAAAAATCTGTTACATGCCACTAGATAGGCTATATAAGTATGAATATAAAGTAATAATATATACAGATCAGATTACATTGACATGATTCATTATCCTCATCTTTGCAGCAATGACAGTTATGTTGCAGTTGGCTGGTTTGTATGTGTATATCTCCTGCACCCATCTATCGACAAATCGCTTGCAATTTTCAAGCGTCTTGTATGCCTTGAATTCTTGCCAGGTTTATTGGCTGACACCAAACACCAAATAGTTCAGTTAATCACCATGTGAAACGGAAGGCAGGATTTTAAAATCTGCACACCACTATTTTGTCGGCACTCCATAGGGATCAACATCGTTAATGTCGAACAATTTTCTTGAATACCGGTCTCTCGCTGAAGAACGGAGTTTTTGACAACTGCTTAATCCTTGCTGCTTTGCTATTTTTTTCTCCATTGCCACCTAAACATCCAAACATGTAAGAACGAATGAGTAAGCTAAGGTGCAAGTGTGCTACAAGCATGGATGCGGAGCAACGCGGATTACGTGGAATTTGAAACACAGGAGCTTGGCGAGCCCGATAGACTTGAGATTAATCATTCGAAAAGTTTTGGATTCGCTGCACACATTTCAAGAATAAATGTTTTGGCGAGTAAGAAATACGGCTTTTAATGAAACAATTTTTTGTGGAACGAAAAACGGATTCGTTTCGTTAAAGTACCATTACCTACTTTGACCATCTTGACACTACAGGTAAAGAGTTAGGGGAGATTTTAAGATTCAAATATTACCCGCCAATCAATGTAGATTGTAAACTCAGTTTTGATGAGAACTTACGGTGCTGTTCAAGCACAGGTTAAGTATTAAGCTGATATTTCTTAAAGGGGTTACAGGCACGAAGTTAGACGGGCCTGCCGAGATGTAAACAATGAGGTGAAAATGGCATGCACCATTTAACAGAATAAAAAATCTCAACAAGGGTTGTGCACAACAACTAATCACCTTAATGAAATATTCAGGGAATTATGGTGCGACACAAAATACTAAGGAAACTTTTGTCCCCGTCTATGTTCACTTTAAGAAAAGCTATATTCATGAGAGCCGACCCTTGGTCTTATTAAGATGAGCCCGCTTAACTTCTCCACAATAGGCTTCAAAAAGTCCGGGAGGGAATTTTTCCCGCCAATAGGGCCCCTGAGACCGCTCTTAATTGACAGACCGTGGAATTTGTAGTCAGTTCTTTGTCCATCT